TTATCCACATATATGGAAATCCAATCAATACAACTATTATTTAAATGTATGTACCAACAGCAAAAATTAGTGAAGAAATTGAAGAAATCTACCATCTTCAGTCTGAAATTAATATACAATCAAGATGCATTGATAATCATTGCCTATTGGAAGTCAAAAGTTGGAAGAGGAAGGAACAGTAGTTGGAAAATATGATCGTGGGCCTAGAAATGAAGCTGACATTAACATATTAAATTTTTGCAAGACCAACAACTTGTTCATAGCAAATACCTTTTCTGAACAGCACAAAAGGCGACTACACACATGGACTTCTCCAGATGAAATACACAGAAATCAAATTGACCACATCTGTGGGAAGAAGCAGTGGAGAAGTTTTAATATCAGCTGGCCAGAGGTGAGCTCTGGAAGAGACCATAAGTTGCTCATATACAAGTTCAGGTTGACGCTGAAGAAAATGAAGACAAGTCCATGAGAGGCCAAATGCCACCTGAGAACATCTCAGGGACAGACACTAATGACAGACGACCTGATGGGCTGTGGTGTGACACCACCACCAACATGCATGACGTAAGCAAAAGGTCATTAAGAAGATCGGGAAGAAAAGATGAAAGTGCATGTCAGAAGAGGCTGAAAACACCCCCTTAATCGGAGAGCAGCGAAGGCAAATGCAGGAGCTGATGAAGTAAAGGAACTGAACCAAAATTTTCCAAGGGCAGCTTGAGAAGACAGTCAAATATTACAGTACAATGTGCATGCTTACCCTATCGGAAACAGAAAGAAGGCAAGACAAAATTCAAACCTTCAGTTACAATATTGAATGATTTCAGGAAGCATCAAAAGAAGATGGAGAGACTACCCAGGTCACTGTACCAAAAAGAACAAGGCAGGTAACATCCCACCATTTCAAGAGTTAGCATATGAGCAAGAACATACGGTGCTGAAAGAAGCCATCCAAGCTGCACTGAAAGCATTAGCCAAAAACCAGAACTCCAGGGCATACTAATCGAAAGGCTTCAACAAGCTGATGAAGCACTGGAAACACTCACTCACTGTGCCAGGATACTTGGAAGAGAGCTGCGTGGCCAACTGGCTGGGAGAGATCCATATTTGTACCCATTCCAAAGAAAGGTGACCCAACAGAATGCAGAAACTATAGAACAACATTGGTGCTATCACATGCAAGTAAAATTCTACTTAAGATCTTCCAACAGTGGTTGTGCTGCAGAACATTGATGGGCGCCGCGAGATTCAGAAGAAAGCACAGCACTGCTGGTGTCCGATGGGTCTTGGCTCAACGCAGATAAAACCAAAAAGGTGTTTAAAGGCATTGACTGTGTGGATCATAACAAACTGGATCAACAGAAAAGTGGGTGAAGGGAGATGCTGGGCAGTGTAAGATAATGATAAAATAATAATAATTTATAAATTATCAAGGGTTCATGAGGGAGGGGGAAAAAAGAAAAACCAAGAGCCCAAGGGGAGAGCAAATGTTTTGAGACTGACGAGGGCAACGAATGTGCAAGTGTGCTTTACACTATTGACGTATGTATGGATTGTGATGAGTTGTATGAGCCCTCAGTAAAATTATATAAAGAAGACAACTAACCATGGGTCATCTTGATAAGACTGAGAAATCCTGAGCACATCATTGTGCTCTTGCGGAACCTGTATATGGACCAAGAGGCTGGCATTTGAACAGCACAAGGAACATTCAAACAGAACAGGTTTAAAATCAGGAAAGGCGTGTATCAAGGTTGTATCCTCCTACTATACTTACTCAGTCTTTCTGCTGAGCAAATAAACTGGATTAGATGAAGAAGAACACGACAATAGGGTTCGAGGAAGGCTTATTAACAACCTACCGTTCGCAGGTGACACAACCTTGCTCAAAGTGAGGAGGAGGACATGTAGCACTTGCTGCTGAAGAGCCAAAAATAGCAGCCCTCACTATGGATTACAGTTCAGTATAAAGAAAACCCAAATCCTCACAACTGGACCAATAGGTAACATCATAATAGAAGAGAGAATAATTGAAATTGTCAACGATTGCATCTTGAATCCATAATCAAAGCTCATGGAAGCAGCAGTCAAGATCAAGAGACACATTGCATTGGGTAAATCTGCTGCACAAGACCACTTTAACGTGCTGAAAAGCAAGGTTGTTACTTGGAGCACTAGGGAATGCCTCACCCAACCCATGGTATTTTCATTTGCCTTGTGTGTATGTGAAAGTTGGACACTGACTAACAAAGACCAAAGAAAAACCGATGCACTTGGCCGATGGTGTTGACGGAGAAGAATGAAAGTGCCAAGGACTGCCCCCCAAAACCAGATCCGTCTCAGAGGAAGTACAGCCAGGACGTGCCTTACAGGCCAGAATGATGAAAGTTAGTCTCTCATCCTTTGGATATGTTGTCAGGGGAGACCGGTCCCCAAAGAAGGACATCATGCTTGGGGATGAAGAGGGGCAGCGACGAAGAGGAAGGCCCTTGACAAGTTGGATTGACACAGAGGCTGCAGCCTTCGGCTCAAACACTAAGATGATTGTGACAGTAGTGAGGTGTTTGGTGGTAGTGTTCTGTTCTGTTGTACAGACGGTCTCTTAGGAGTTGGAACCCCCTCAACTGCACTTAGCAACATCAACACTTGGCCCTGGAGGAATCATACTGAGCCTTAAGAATCATAAACTCCTATGTAACATGATTGTGCTTGTAGTACTAATTGTTATGTCAATTTTTAAGATTTAAGAATGTGGGGACTGAAAAGCAGATTCTGGTGCTGAGTTAGTTAATTGTGCCAGCCTGGCCGATAATCACGTGTGGGGCTAATTGAAAGGCGGAGGGATAAATGGGTGGTGAAGCCTCGCCTTTCTAGTTCTCGGGTCTCTTGTTTTGTGATGGTTGCACCAGGGTGCAGCTGCCTTAGCAGTTCCCTGCTTCAGCTTGCAAGATTGACTTCCTACAAGACATCCCCAAGGAGAAGCTACATGGACCTATCCCGATGCAGCCCTGGGTGCTGGAGCAGCAGTGTGGAGACCCCTGCTAGTGCTGAGATGCTTGTTCGTTCACTGACTCAGCTTTCCTCCTGCAGTCGGCATCATTGCCTCTGTTTTGTGAGGTGGAGGACTTTGTGGACTGGTGTTGGGTTAATGGGTTAATGTTGGACTTGTGGGCTTGGGCAGCATTGGGTTGGGATGTTTTCGTGTTGCACACTTTCTTTACATAAAACTCTCTTATACGTGAGTTGCTGTGGATTTGTTTCTCTAAAGTACCTAGACTAATACAGGTGCATGGTGTAAATTGGTATGAAATACTCTGCTTTGATTGAAAACAACCCAAACAGACATGAAAACTTCTTAATCTTCAAAACACCAAGTTGTAGAGCAGTTACTGATTCGTGTGGAGAAGCATGCAACAGTCTATTTACATAATACAGTCACAGAGAATAAGATCTGGAAAGCTACACCCCAGCAGGTAGCTCTGTATTCATACTTCCGCTAATCAACTGAGGACCCCCCATTTCTTGAGCACCACACACATTACCAAGAGCCCCTGGAGAGTAGCTTCTCCTCCCTAGCTGGCATGGAACTTTCATGAGACATATGTGCCAGGGTTGTATCCTCTAGGAGGAAGGCAGAATTGATTTTAGAAGTTGTGCGTTGTACATATTTTTATGTCTTTCTCTGTTTCTTTTTAATGTTGTTATGATCAGGCACATTGCCAATATTGCATACTAATTAAATGGTATTCAACAAATATTTATTAAGTTATATTAAACATCTTTTGCCAAACATATATGTTAAACATATTTTGAGTGTCCAATTCGGCTTAAGTTACAAGCAGAAGAGATCATGGTTTTGAAAGCCCAGTCTGAAATCATATATTATGCTGTGATCTGATTGAAGAAACAAGCGACTAAAACAAGTGATAGTAGCATGAGGCACGTATATTAAGTCAGAATGAGGGCTGTGTGTGCCAAGGGAGTTAGAAGCATGGGTTTCATCCAGGAAAGTGGGTCGGGGGAGGTTCCCTGGATATTTTCTTTTAAGTAGATCTCAGGGGCCACAGTGCTGCAGTATGTGTGAGGTAGGCAGAAGCAGGGATTGAGAGCGCATGCTAGGTAGAGGAAAATCTCACGCACAAGTGCGAAAGCTTGACACCCTCTGTTGGCCTAGTGACTGTATCCCCATGGAGGAGGAGGATCTGTCCCTCACACTTGTTTCTCTAGGGAGCCTTGTAGCCTGCCTAGTTATAACGCTGACCATTCTTTTAATAAAAGCCCACCTCCTTTTTCTCTCCTCTGTCTACACTAGACCCTTCCTGTCTTGTCGAGTGAATTCCAACTCAGAGTGACCCTGTCTGACAGATTAAACCGGCCCCTTAGGGTTTCCAAGGGTATAATCCTTATGGAAGTCACCGTCACATCTTCCTCCAGTGGGTGCAAACTGTCACCCTTTCCGTTTGCAGCTAAGCACTGCCAGGGGTCCTCAAACTTTTTAAACAGGCGCCAGCTCACTGTCCCTCAGAACCGTTGGACGGCCAGACTATCGTTTTAAAAAAACTGTGAACAAATTCCTATGCACACTGCACATATATTTTGAAATATAAAACAAAATGGGGCAAAAACACCCGGCGGCCTGGAGTTTAAGGACCCCTGACTTAAACTATGCTCCACCAGGGTCCTGACATCTGCTATAGTGTGTGAACTACTCCGTAGGGTTTCCAAGACTGTAAATCTCTACAGAAGCAGATTGCCTCATCTTTCTTCCTTGGAGCAGATAGTGGGTTTGAACTGCCTTTTTTAGGGGGTTGGCAGCCCAATGCTTAGCCCTGGGCACTACCAGCTGTAAGTGCTATTATGACACACTGTAAATGTTTCTGTCATGAATTTCTGAAATTTTTTAGGGTCCAGTTACCCTTGATTGTCACCTGGGATCTTTCTCTGTGTTCCGCTTGCAGACTGTCTTTCCTCCTGCTGATTCCTTTCTGTCTTCTTTCCAGATGAAGCTGTTAAACTTGTACATAAAGAGGGCTCAGACCACGAACAGCAACAGCAGCAGCTCCTCCGACATCTCCACACACAGCTAATGGCAGCCCCGGCCTCGGTGTCGACCTAGAAACAATCGGTGGTGCCTCTCCAAGACCTCTGCTCACTCCCTTCCATCGACTGCCGGTCATTGCAAGGAGGCCCGCAATTATTTATTACAATCAGTATTTTTGGTCCCTTCCAGCTTTTGTGTAGAATCTTACTGGTACTGAATGTAAAGGAAGAAAGGCCTGTATTGTGTGTTCATTACAGAAACAAAAGGAGTAAGAAAAGAAAAGAGCCATACGTGGATACGTCGTCTTGTGCAGCCTGCGGAGATCATGATACAGCGGATGGGGTGCGGCTTTTCAAAATCAGCCTCGCGCAAACATCTTCTCTTCAGACATTAATAGATGGGGGCTGTTAATGTAGGTTTATCTTTCTTCATGCCTCTCTTCTGTATGTGAGGACGGCTCGTGGAGCAGAGACCCACCCTTTGGCACCTCCATGGCAGCATTGCCTGTCTTTTAAGTTGGATTTTGACAACAGTTATGAATGTTAAATCTTGGCAAGAAGTGGAGTAGACGGTAAAGAGGGCCTTTTAAGGAATACTGGAGATTTTGCTTTTATCTCTAGATTGAGAACAAACTACTGTAACTTTCAGCACTGAATTCGAGGGGGTGCGCTCCACAGTCTTCTTCCCGGTCACATTCCCCATCCTCTCTGCGTGGCCTCTGCTGAGGACATCCACTGAAAATATTTTTAGAATTTAAATTCAAACACACAAATCAAGGTAAATTATAGCATGAGTTACTGGACCCCTAAATTGGTATTTCACAAAGTGCATAAGATGTAAGAAGAGTTTTTTGTCTTACTGCTAAGAAACGAGCAGTGATTTTCCAGTGTCCCGCTGGTCTTTGAAGGGACCTCGGTGACTAGGATTGAATGCCATCTTTCTCCTCTCTCTCTAGCATTGTCTAAACGCTTCGATTCTAAAGTGCTCTCAGTTCTTCTGCTGTAAATGGCAAATTTATCATGTCAGGTTTTGACCTATTTTAAATATAGAATTAAGATAAAAGAAAAGTCTAGAGAGATCATGTCAGCGTCATCCTTCTATTTTATATCCTTGATAATCTGCTGCAATAGTCACTGTTTAAGGAAGAAGTAATTATGCTGAATCACAAAATGGAAAAGTACAGGATTTGAAACTAAATTTGAGTCTTGTTTCTTTCTCTTCAGCAAGAAATCACTAGGCCCCCTTGACCTTGCTTTGTGAGGTTTACATTGCTTCAAGGAAAGTAATTGTAGATATAGAGTCTGGTTAGATAACAATTTTGAGTAAAATTCTTGGAGCCAAATGGAAATTTTTAATGTACTCATGAAGATCTCTATTGTCTTTTACTATTCTATATGAGATCCTCTAAATTGAACTGATTTTTTTCCTTAAGAAATGCCTGCTTTGAAATTCATTTGTACTGAGATATTTGGTGCTCCAGTACAGAGCCCACTACAGTGAGCAGGACTGAGGAGCAGGTCAGGCATGAGCCGCTGGACCACCTGATGTAGTTCTTGCCATCAGTTCCCATTAGCCACCCGCCCCTCCTTTTCTGACCCTGCAAGATTTGTTGGAAGCTATGAAACAGACTGTAGCAACCTATTTTTGGTTTTTTAAAATTTTCAAAATATGTTAAAACGCTGCTGGGGAATCTGCTCTGAAGGATGACTGCCACCAGGTCCCAGGGCAGCCCGGCCTGTGAGGCCGTCTAGGAAGTGCTCCGCTGCTGCTGTCGGGACTTCAAGGGTGCGGTGATCAGATATTACTGACTAGTTTGGGGCTCAAAACTTTGGTTGATAAATATGGCTTGTTTGTGTTTTCTTGAGGAGTTGTGTTTTTTGGTTTGTGTTTTTGTTCTCACACACTACAAATCCAGGAGCCTTTTTACCTTTTATTGTAGAAATGTCCATTCCAGTGAGGTTATCCGTGAGTTCCTTTCATCTGATGCACCTAGAAATACCTCTCCCCTGTGTACTCTGACTCCCCAGAAGGTTTCTCTAGGCCCCTAAGATTCTTGAGCACCGTCTCATTGCTTCATCGTGCTCACAAAGGGCTAGCCTGGAATGTCACTTGCCCAACTTGCAACCTTCTGACCCGAGAGAGATACAATCACTTCAGAGGCCTCTTGGCTGAGTTCTAAAAATTGCTGCCAACTGTGCCGAGGATCCGCTTGCATGCCGCTGCCACCTCACAGGAAGGGAGGCCATGTTCCTGCTGCCTTCTAAATCCTGACAGCTGCCTTGCCTTTGCTGCCACCTCCTGCAGGGCCCTGTCACACGAAACTACAGAATCACAACACAGCCAAGCACCCAAAACTGTTTGCCTCTTCTCTTTACCTGATTGTCGGCATCTCAGAAGAGCCCACGGTACCCCAGCGCTTGGGGCTGGTTCACCTGACCTCCTGCTTTCCTTCATCTGAGCAGTTCCCCTTCAGATCAGGATGCCGGCCTTGACGGTCCCATCCCGGCCTGTGTGTGCCCTGTCCCGCGCCACTTTCGGCCACAAGACAACTGTTTTCTATGGCCATCACTAGCTTACCAGTACCGTATGCAGTGACACAGTTGTGTTTTTGTCTCACACAAGGTTTTTTTCTTCCTGTGCTGCCCTTGATCTTTCAGTCCTACGAGTACACAATAAAGGGCAGCGAGTAAGAATTCCTTACAGAATCCCGTCAGGAATTTGCTAACAATAATGTTTGGAAATGAAAACAAGAGATGCTTTGAAAATTACCCGCCACCAAATTCGTTCTGTTGGCACCGTGTTCACGCATGACTCCATATCTGAGTTGTTTTTTTTCCTTTTTGGGGGGCCTTTTGATGTTATATCCATATCTGTATTTATAGCTTATTTGTTCCACTCTCCAATGTATCATGGCAAATGTACAGAGTTTGTTTCTTTGTTTATGTGCTAGAATTTACTAAAAATAAAACCAACAACAACATGAAAACCTTTTGCGTTCGCCCTAGAATAAATGCAACAGTTCCGTTTGTGTGTGTGTGGGTGCTCTTTCGTCAACTGGCCCTAAGCGTGGCTTTTCCCCGCGAATTTGGAAACTTGAAAAAATAACATAGTTTCTACCAGATGCTGGCAAGAGCAGTTGTTGGCCAGGGAGGGCGGAAACGAGAGACTTCTCCGAAAGAACTCCGGAGGACATCAGGACCACCAAGTCTTTCTTTGCAGCCTCCTTACGTAACAAGTTTTCCAGCCTATCTCAGAATACGCTTCAAGTCGCACAGCCTTAACTGCCACATGGCTGTGTGCCACTTTTCCCTGTTGCTTCTCGTGCTGCTAGTGCACTGCCTTGAATGCCTCCAGGCAAAGTACCCTGCTGGAGATGCCAGTATGTAGAGTATCGTTAGCTATTGCTAAGTTCTCCATTTATGATTAACCCGTATACAACATGTATCATCATTATACACAGGGTTTTCGTTGACTGGTTTTCCAACGTGGAACCCCAAGCTTTTCTTCCTAGTCCATTTTAGCCTGGAAATTCCTTCATAGAAACTTGCAAGCCTCCACTGAGCATGGGTGGTGGTTGCATGAAGTTCATAGGCCTGGAATTGAATCCAAGTCTCCTGCATGGAAGACAAGAATCCCACCAATGCCATCTTACAGAGTGGTTACAAATACCTGGGTTCTCATTGGGCAAAGCACTGTAAGTGTAAGGTAAGGAAAGAACCACCTTGGGGAGCTGCTCTGATGGACTAGTGAGATGATATAAATGAAGCAGCAGGTAAAGAAAACGCATGCATTCACTTAGCATGCTCTACTTCACGGGAGCATGAAGTCCACCACCCGTACACCCATCTGCACATTATAATCCATTACTAATTAGCAAATACGGAAACCCTAGGTGGTGAGGACTAATCCAGGCCAGTCTTCTGTATTCAAATCTCTAACCCCTGGGCCAAGGACTCGCAGCAACTTACCATTTTACAAGTCAGACCTTTGGTGGGAGAGGTGTATTGCAGAGACTACAGATTCATGCTGCTTAGCTTTGATGGGGGGTGGGGTGGGGGGGCGCTGTTCCAGGAAAAGGCACCTTTCCATTCACATTGTTGCATGCAATCAGAGGTTTCAGGACCCTGGAAACATGCAAACTTCCAAAGTGAGCAAACTGTCTTACTGGCCACTGATCTCCACAGTCTTAGATCCATAAAGCAAAATTGGGCTGGGAAAGTGTTAATCCAGGACACAAATCTCCCTTAAAGCATGTACCTCTTTTTTTTTTTAGTCTCATCAATACCATCTTACTGACTTTACACCGCTCTTGAAATACATACAGGTAATGCTGCTGTCATCTTCAATATCCAGTGAAGGAAGTGTGCACAAAGAAATGTGAAGAGAGTGGTGGAGTTGGTGCTAAAATCATCAGGACCCTGAAGGGCTGGATAAAGCAGATGGCTAAGCTCTAACCCCGAAACTATGGATACAAAGGATCTTAGGTGGGACCTGAGAAGATGCATTCATAACAAGTTTCCAAGGGATGCTGATACCACTGATTTAGAACCCCACTTTGCAAGTATTTGTAAAGCACTATGTGTAAAACAAGGTGCCCTGGTGAAGCAATGGGCCAAGGCCACCTCTGGTTATGAAGGTAAAAGATGGGGAGTGTTGTATCATGTAAACTAGAACTCTTGAAAGCTACACTGAATTTTATAAACACAAACCAGGAATTTCTTGGGCAAACAGGACACCTGACATCCATAGACCTACCAGAGGGAAAATGCCTATAACTGCACAGGACATGCTGGAGGCCCAGTGTTCATTAAGTGAGAATCAAGGCTCCTTCATTTCCAGTTCAAACCCCACCTCACCTTGCCCATTTCCTCTAGAATTAACTCATTCTCCAGTGGCTCAAGGCAAGAAAGCACAAAGCTCATGTGAATGAGTAGCTAATCCCAGGTTATGTATTCAAAACGCATTAAAATGTTCCTACACTATTGGAAGCTCGGTCTACTACCAGGGCCAAGGCCTGGAAGTTTACTCCCTCAGAGCCCTCCTAAAGGTGCTCCCTGTTGCTGGGTAACTTTTGAGCATCTCTGAGATGTCCCTGGGTTACAGAAGGGACAGTAACTGGTGAGACAAGACTGCAGCTGGCAGACCTGGGCACCAGCAGCAGGTGCCTCCAGTCACCTGCAGATAATACATAGCATATAACTAACGCCCATGCTGCTGCAGCTTCCTTTGCTTGTCAGGGTTTTAAAATCCTCCGGAGGTAGGGTAGGGACGCTAGTGGTACAGTGCTTGCTTGTTTAGCTTTGAGTTGAAAGGATAGTTCAAATCTACCAGCCACTCTGGGAGAAAGATGTGGCAGTCTGTTTCCATTAAAAATTAATCATCAAAAGCCTTGCTCAGTATCTCCTTTGTCTTAATTGTCTCTTCGGGATCAGCAAACACCTCTAAAGTAAAGCCCTGATGATAGGTTCATCTCCAGATTTCCAACTTCTATACCTTGGCCTACTAACTTTTCACTGCCTTGTTTTCATTACCTTGTTAGCTTTCTGATACTTTTCAGCCATCTGAGAGAACCCTCACAGTCCCCGAGAACCCTAAACATCCATGAGACTATATTCTCAAAGGTAAAAGTCTACTACCAGCATTCTAAGAAAATTCTTCCTGCTTACCTATGGAAAGGAAATCCGTTGACTGTAACGGAGACCCCTGAGATAAATAAAAACATCCCAAGGGGATAAAGCCACTAATTTCTAGGTCGGCCTTTGGATGGAATGCTATCCAACTATTTAAATTTTTTTAGCTTATATTAGTATTAAATGAGAGAAGAAGTATCTCCTGATAATTTAGGGCAAACCATCTTGCAGACGATCATGAAAAAAACTGGGAAAATTTTTTTTAATTTGCTGAAACGTCAGCGTTAACAAGGTGGGGCAAAGTTACCAAGTCAGGTGCAAAAGATGGAAGTGTGGAGGAAGATGAACCTGCCACTGAAGGCAGCTGTTCTCCTGGGGGTGTTTGCTGACGCACAAGAGACAACTGAGGCAAAAGAGATACTGAGCAAGGCTTTTAAGAGCCTCAGCCCCTTTAGGAATATTAACATGATCCTAAACGGCTAATGGTCCAAGAAATTTACAGAACTAAACATAAATCTCATCTGGCTGAAGATAATGTCAGCTAAGCCACAAAGATAGTTATTAAAATTTTCAAGTACACCATCCAGCACATAAATACAATAGGGGGGAAAAGTGGTGGACACATTCACAAGGACTCCAATTACTGGAATGATCAGAAATGGGCTTTAGAATAACTTTAAAATTTTTGTATTGTGAATTAGGTGAAGGCTTATAGAGCAGATCATTGGTTTTGCATTCAACTCATCAAACCTCCCATTATATTGCCCTATTTTCACCATTGTTTGCCCATCTATCTCCCTCTTACTGCATAGTACCTGCCCTTTCTCCTAAATAACACATGTCTGCCATCTATATACTGTCCCAGAACTAGTCCACATTCAGCAGTTTAAAGAGGGTAGCTTATGATCAAAAACCAATGGTACTGAAAGAAGAAATTCAAGCTACCCTGAAAACATTAGCCAAAAACAAGGCTCCAGGAATTGATGGAATACCAATCGAAATGTTTCAACAAACTGATGAAACACTCAAAGTACTCACTTGTGTATGCCAGAAATTTGGAAAACAGCTACTTGGCCAACTGACTGGAAGGAATCCATATTTGTGCCCATTCCAAGGACAGATGTCCAAACAGAATGCTCAAATTATAGAACAATGTCATTGATAGGACATGCAGGTAAAATTTTGCTGAAGAACATTCAACAATGGTTGCAGCAGTACATTGATGGAATTGCCAGAGGTTCAGGCTGGATTCAGAAGATGTGGAGCATTGCTAATGTCAGGTGGATCTTGAGTGAAAGCTGAGAATACCAGAAGTACATTTCACTTGTGTTTTATTGACTGTGCAGAGGTATTCGACTCTGTAGCACAGCAAACTATTGATAACCTTGAGAAGAATGGGAATTCCAGAACACTTCATTGTGCTCACGAAGAACTTGAACATGGATCAAGAAGCAGTTGTGGGAACAGAACAAGAGAATATTGCATGGTTTAAAATCAGGAAAGGTGTACATCACCATACTTACTCAATCTGTATGCTGAGCAAATAAGCAGAAATACGATGTTATCACGAAGCATGTGACATCAGTATGGGAGGAAGGCTTATGAACATTCAATATATAGACGATACGACCTTGCTTGCTGAGCACTTGCTAATGAAGATCAAGGATTGCAGCCTTCATTTTGGATTTTAACTCCATGTAAAGAAGACTAAAGTCTTCACAACTGGACTAATAAGTAACATCATGGTATATGGAGAAACGGAAGTCAACTATTTCATCTTGCTTGGATCCACAATCAATGCTAATGGAAGCAGCAATTGATCAAAAGATGAGGTCAATCTGCTAATAAGACCTCTATAGAGTCCTGAAAAGACAGGATGTTACATTGAGGGCTACTCACAGGGCCAATTCTACCCTGTCCTATAATATCACTATGAGCCAGCATCAACTCAATAACCATGAGTTTAGAGTTTGGTCTATAATTTGTGCTTGAACTTCTTCCTTCAACATCATAAGGTGCACCTGATCCAAGCCATGGTATTTTCAATTGCTTTGTATGTGCGTGGAAATTGGACATTGAAAAAAGAAGACCAAAGAAGGATCTATGTCTGAATTGTGGTGCTGAGAAACAGGGAAAGTACCATAGACAGCTGACAAGGGAAGCCAATCTGTGTTGGAAGAAGTAAGACAAGAGTGCTCCTTGGCTACAAGAATGGCAAGACTTCACTCATGACTTTGGACTGGTCAGGAGAGATTGGTCCTTGGAGGAGGACATTGTGTTGGTAGAGCAGAGGGACAGAGAAAAAGAAGAAGCCCTCCAGGAGAAAGAGTGAGCCGGTGGCTGCAACAACGGTCACAAGCACAGAAACAATTGTGCGGATGGCCATGTTTCACTCT